CAGTGAATTTTTAAAGCTCAAAACTTTCAAAATTGTTTAGAAAAACCCTCACAGCCTTATTTTCATTCCTGTATAAATTTAAATATTGTGCTACCCTGACTAAGGTCTTTGCAACTAAAATGAATGAATATTGGAGCCTCTGAGTTTTACGGTCCCAAAAAGGACCATAAAAATACCATTAAAGTGCCCCAAATATCTGTATAAAGATAGCTTTGTCTGAGAAACAGATTGAAATCTGCCATTGCTGTCCTTCAAACAGAAGTCATCAGATGTTAAATTTATAAAATAATCATTTGAACTGGTTTCCTAAACCTGATCGACAGATTCATTAAAAATAATACTCAAAAGATTGATCTGATCACAAGTTTTACATTTTACATTACAATAATGACAGAATTTAAATTTTCAATGGTTTTAGCTACTACCTACCTTTAGTTCTTAAGCTGACAAATCAGTAACCAGTACAACCATAAACAAGTACATCCAGTTAAAGTCACAAGTCCACACACAAAGGCCACTCTGAGGTCATACCGTCTGTGTCGAAGCAGCCCGAGGACTGACTGAGCGATGAAGAGAGAGAGGACCCGAGCATGGTATTGAGAGATGAAGCATTACCACTGCTGGAAGGAACCCCGACTCCACCACTGAGTGACTCCTCCTCCAGCTCCTTCTCTGAGGAAAGCAATGAGACCTCCTCCACCGCACTCACCACGCTCTCTCTTCTGTCATTTTTGGTGGCCTTTTTAGTACTACTGCTGCCACTTCTGCTACTGCCTTTAGTGGCACTGCTAGTACTAGTGCCAGCATTGTCACTGATGGACACTTTACCACTGCTATTATTACTAGAACTGATGCTGCCTTGTCTTTTAACGTTGCTGATAAAACTATTTCCAGAAGTGCTGCTTTTCTTAGCAGCACTACTACTACTGCTGCTGCCGGAGGTTTGGTTTTCTGCTGTCTGCTGAGAGAGAAAGTGAGAGGAAGAGAATATAGGTGAGTAAATCAGAGTAAATCAGAGATTGACAGACTGCACACAAACCCTCGGCCAGCGAAATCCAATTGGCACGGGTGGTAAAGGAAAAGCCTCTCTCTTTCTATATAAACCTGACAAACAAGCACGTCTTTTGCACTCTGCTCCCCTCTTTGCAAACTCTTCACCCTCCCTGTGGGAATGCTCAATAATCCTGTCCAGATCACTTAAGTTAATTCTATTAAACTTCTATCTGACTAACGCTTCAAAATACACAAAAACAAACACACAAAAAACAGGAACACAGCATTTCATTTACATGCTGTTAATTGTTGCAGCACAGTGGAATGGCACTTTCACACACTAGATCAATGTGGTCTGTTGTCAGCAGAAAGAATATGCAGAAGGGAGATAGAGAGGGATTAGTAAATCAACCAGACAGAAAGATGGGCACAGCACTTAGAAATGTAATTAAAGTAAAGAATAAGGGTGGAGGAGGGCATTTAAAGGTGCAGTATCCCAAATCAGCATTATTCTTTCTATTATTTCAACATTACTGTGACCATCTAAAAACAAACCTCTTCAGGAAGAAATTACAAACTAACTACACTTTTTGCAGTAACTTAAGTGTACTAATCTGGTGTAACAAATT